AGTGCAGGAACACTGAGAGAACATTAACTGCTGACAACTTTGTTCCAGGATCTGTTTTAGTACCTACATATCTTAAGCTGCACACTGATTTACCTATAATTCCCACCTCCCAAACCCAAAAGGCTAAGTCTCCAGTGCTCCAGGAGCAAGCATGCACGTATAATGGATCCAAACTTTCTACAAGGTTTTGTAGCTATAATGGAAACAAAAACAACATTTCCAAACCGGAACTGAAGTGGCTGTTGTTTACTTTGCAGGTCCTTTCAAAACAATACCACTTCCATAAAAACCTAACCTGGAAATGTCTAAAACCCATTTGTTTAAATCCGTATTCCACTGAGGCTTCTGAAAGCAGCTAATGTCTTCTCTCTCTCTGTAATCAGGGAGAAAAGGAGTAATATCCTGAAAGTGGCTGACCACAGACAGGATCCAAAAGGATGGTGTCCAGAGGAGGATGGGAGCGGCTGTGTGTGTGATAAGTGTGGTAGATGTTTTGGCCAGAGGTTTCAAAGAAGTTCTAGTTTTCCAACATCCATTTCAAAAGCTTTGTCTCTCAATGAAATGTTTACAATTCTGAATCTGAAAAAATACAGCTCTTCCTCGCAAAGAATGCAAAAACATTCTATAGCCAGTCACTAACAAAAGAAAAAGTAGCCAGAGAAATTTAGAGAGGTCATACGATGTTACTAAAAATAACATAATTTTGTGTATTTGGTGTAATGAAATGTGTTTATGCGGTTTAAGGTTCAAAAAACACATTATTTTCCACATACTGTACATTATTGTTTCTCCTCTATGCCCCGCCTTTCTGAAACGCGTCAATTTTTACAAAGCTCATCGAAAAGCAAGGTGTGCTCTGATTGGCCAGCTATCCAGTGCATTGTGATTGGCCGAATACCTCAAGCGTGTGACGGAAATGTTACGCCACTTACCATACTGTGATGCCGTGTCCCGGCCGGAGCGACGACACAAAAACTTTAAAACCCATTATAAACGAGGCATTTGTTGCATCCGGTGGGGACATAATTACGGATTATAATGACTTATACTGTCTTTTTACGCAGTGCATTGCATCGCATCGTGCCGCGTAAACATAAAACCATGTCTGCATTTGTGATCGGAGAAATGACAAACAACAAGCCCTACTCCACACTGCCCAAAAAACTCGCTTTAAATATAAAAAATATAAAATATAAAAACTCTTTAAATATAAAAAAC